GTTACAGGTATGCGCCCACTAGCACCTGGCAGCCTTTACTCATTTTTTAAGGATACCCAGAAAGGAAGTAAGTCATTCAATAGTTCTAAGACTATTTTTCTGATTACCTGTATGATTCATTCTTCTTCTTTATACTATATGTATATCCTTATTTATCTCTTAGTCTAGAACAATATCTGAGTGTTTTTATATGTGATGACAAAGCTTTAAAGATACATGTAGCTTTTTCAAAGAATGCATGAGTAGACTGAATGCTTGGGGTCATGGGATGTTCTCCAGGTGTGTGGTCTCTTCCTGCTCAGCTGCAAAACAATTGTTGCACATGTCCCTTCCTTTCTGGAGGTGTTACCTTCTATGGAATTATGTGCATGGAAAGCCTGCTTCCTTCTATGTCCTTCTGCAGAGAAAGACCTTTGGCATCAGTCAGTGCTAACTGCATTTTAATCTCAAAGAACGATTAGCCTATTCTTGCCTGTATAATACCCAAACAGTTGAATCAAAATTGGAGATAATTGGAAAAGAAGGTCATATTTGCTCAAATTATAACATTATCCTAGCCACATATACATATGGTGAGAGATGCCCGCTTAGTGGTTTTATAAGGATTTTATATCCAAAATGGAGTTGGGAGAACCAAAGTAACAAGACTTTGGCTACATGAACTAATTATTGAGTTATCAGCAATCTGATCATACTCAAAAGATCTCTGGAGTAAATATCTGTTTGTCTGTTTGTGTCTGTTTTCTTTTAGCCTGTTTTTCTGGTTTCTGGGGATTGATCCATCTGAAATTGGGAACATAAGGGGAGCAGATGAAGACAGACTTACCCCCTTCCCTTTTCTGATGAAAATACAGCGTGCTGGCTCTAGAATTGCCATGGTTGGAGGTCTGAGGATCAGGCCACCTGGTGTCTGGTATTGCTGTGACTGGAGGTCCCTCAGAGGACCAGTCCTGCCCAGCATCTGTTAATGCTCTCATTCCATACAGAGTCTTGGCTCTCAGGACAGTAGAGAGCTCTGGTTAGGGCTGAATGGGATTGGGGAGTAGGGGGGACACAGGCTATGAGTTCAAGCCCCACAACCGACCCAAAAAAAGTTATATATAGGAAAATTTATGGGGCTGGGAATATGGTTTACTAGTAGAGAGCTTGCCTAGCATGCAGAAGCCCTTGGTTTGATTCCTCAGTACCACATGAACAGAAAAAGCCAGAAGTGGTGCTGTGGTTCAAGTGGTAGAGTGCTAACCTTGAGCAAAAGAAGCTCAGGGACAGTGCCCAGGCCCTGAGTTCAGGCCCCAGGACTGACAAAAAAAAAAAAGGAAAAGTTTGTGGTTTGGGTGAGTTCATTAAGCCATCAGTAGCAACCCATAATGTAGAATTTCATTATTTGAACAACTGCTTGAACAATCAGTAATGTATTTCATTGTCTCCTGCTCTAATGGAGAATGTGGAGGTGAAACTCTTACATGCCAGGCCCCTTTCTACTCACACGATTTAGATTCTCTATTCTTCCACTGAGATACACACTGGGATACACACTGGGGCTTCTGGAGAATCCTTCGATGGAGGAATCAGAATTTCAACTCAAAGCGTGGCTGCAGGCCTAAATCCCACTATTTCCTCTAGTAGGGAGTAGAATCTAGCAAACAGTGGTAGACCTGACTGATTTGCAAACTCCCTTCTTTATTAACCTCACAGACAATATTTTGTCATCATCACTACAGAGCTTTCTGGAAGTCTCTTGCCAACATAGTGCCTCAGTTTGTACAAATGTAAGTGCGTATGCAGCCATGAGCCCTAGCTGACAGTGCCTGATAAAGCAAATGCAAGGTGGCAGGAATGCACTGGAATCACTGGGCTTTCAATGGTACTGTTCCTATGTGTTACCTTGTTGATTTTCAAGCTTACTGCCATTTTTTCCTTTGATTACCACAGTATAGAACTCCACTAATCCCCCAAATTCCACAGGTGTCTCTCTCTCTCTCTCTCTCTCTCTCTCTCACACACACACACACACACACGCACACACACACACACACACACACGTGTCTTCACCCAACACATTTGTGTATTTTTCTCAATCAGCTGCTATGGAGAAATAGGGTTGTGTGGCTCCTGCTCCATCCCTGGCACTGTACCCTTGACCTTCATTCATTGGGCCCTGAATTAAGAATGAATAAATGCCCTGGTGCCAGTGGCTCACATCTGTCATCCCAGCTACTCAGGAGGCTGAGATATGAGGATCACAATTCAAAGCTAGCCTGGGCAGGAAAATCCATGAGACTTTTATCTCCCATGAACCACCAAAAAGCTGGAAATGAAGCTGTGACTCAAGAGGTAGAGCACCAGCCTTGAGGAAGGGGAAGGAATAAATCGGTAGATGCAAGGTCTTCACCTGTCATTTCCTGGAGATCCTTCACGCAAAGGTGGCTGCTGCCTGTCACCACTGACTTTAGGGTGTCCCACAAGCTCCCAGGGGAGGAAACTGAACCTGAAGACCTGGTTGGGAGTTAACACATTTTACCAAGTAACTTAGTAGCTTTTCATTGCTGTGGGGAAAAAAAAAAAACAATGCGAAGGAGAAAATCCTTTATTTGGAGGGAATCCATTTCCATAGCCTGAGGAAAGACTGAAACCTCGTGGCAGGGACTGCTATGTGGAATGAAGTGCTCAACTCATAGTGGTTGAGAAGGATTGAGAGACAGACAGAGACACAGAGACAGACAGACAGACAGAGACAGACAGAGACACAGAGACAAGAGAGATGGGAGAGACAGAGAGATGAAAGAGAGAGATGGGAAAGAGGGAGAGAGAAGGGAAAGAGATGGGAGAAGACAGGAGAGAGACAGAGATCGAGATGTGAGAGGAGAAAGAGGTAACAAGATGAGAGAGGAGAGAGATGTGAGGGAGAGTTGAGAGAGACAGGAGGGAGAGATGAGAGACTTTAGAGAAGAGAAGGAAAAAGACAGAGATGGCAAGGAGAGGCAGGAACAGAGATGAGAGAAACAGAGAGTAGGGATGTGATGTATCTTCTTGCAATGCTGCCCAGTGATCTTCTTTGCCTACACAGGCCCCCATTCCTGGAACCCCATCCAACTGAAACCTCTCTGCTGTGTTGGAATCTTCATGATAAAGCCCCTCACCAACCAGAGACTAGAACTGAGCTTTCAATGAATCTTTTTTTTTTTTTTTGGTCCTGGGGCTTGAACTCTGGGCCTGGGCGCTGTCCCTCAGCTCTTCAGCTCAAGGCGAGCGCTCTACCACTTGAGCCACAGCGCCACTTCCGGTTTTATGGTGGTTTATTGGAGATAGGAGTCTCCCGGTCTTTCCTGCCCGGGCTGGCTTTGAACCGCAATCCTCAGATCTCAGCCTCCTGAGTAGTTAGGATTACAG